AGACGCAACCCCAAGTTTCCCATTTTACGACCATTTAGACCCACTAAATATATATATAATGTTATGGTAATATCATAAACACACATAGGCATGGCTAGGTTTATTACAAAGTGATGAAAAGGGTATGCTTAATACTGTAGTCCACAAAAACATGTAGCTATGCTTTTTTTATTTGGTCCCCCAACATACGAGTCCGTTTTCTCTCACAACAGGACGCCTGAATCTTCCATTTTCTCTCTTAATCTTAGAGTGCACCAGAGACTTAGTTATTCTTAGTAATGCCACAGAATTTGAAATTGCAACCCCATTTGCAACTGGGGTTGCAATTGTTGAGGCAACTAGATATGTCTGATTACAGCAAATGTGTTATTGTCAATTTGTAGGTGAAAGATTTTATCCTCAATAGATGTAGGTTAACATTACACCTGAAGGCAAATGCTTAAAAAAAGCCTAAGCAAGGAAGCATATTCCTTTAACACAAAATATCTAACCAGTATGGGAAGGATCATCGTGTCTCCGTCAGGGGGTCGTGGAGTGGTGGCCCTGCAGGCGTCACGGATTTTTTTTTGGGGGGGGAGGGGGGGCATGCGGCGTACATGCGATTGGACGTTGTTCGTCGGACGTTAACCGGGCATGACTGTGTGTGTGTGTGTGTATATATATATATATATATATATATATATATATATATATATATATATATATATATATATATATATATATATATATATATATATATATATATATATTACCCCGCCTATGGCGGTTTCATAACGCGTTTTATCATATACGCGGTGCCTCGCCAGAGCTGAACTTTCACTTAACACGGATTTTTTCCACATATACGCTGGTGAGTGTCCGGCTTGGAGCGCTATTTTTAGATTTGCCCACCGCCACCCTGCCTGACTGCCTGTTTTAGCTCATAAAATTCATACAAATTACCCGGCCAGAATATAATTTACATTGCTGGAATTCTTATAATTTGGTGATCATTTTGAATATAAACATCATATATTTTGCATTAGACATACAAATTTTAGATAAAAATTTTTCTCAGAGTAACTATGTTATCTTTTGTGCAAAATATATGACATTTATATTCAAAATATTCCTGGTCTTACAAGGAATCCAGCAATGTCAATTATATTATCCTAACTTTAGTTTGAGGTATTATTTATTAAAATTTAGTGGTTATCCCACACATCTCCTTGGGACGGTTGGTGGGGGGTGGGGGGGAGGGAGGGACCAACCGACCATCTGTTACCCAGTGAAGAATTATTTTTTTTTTTATTAACTGAAAACATTTGTTTTAGCTCATAAAATTCATACAAATTACCCGGTCTGAATATAATTTACATTGCTGGAATTCTTATAATTTGATGATCATTTTGAATATAAACATAATATATTTTGCATTAGACATAGGCTACAAATTTTAGATAAAAATTTTTCTCAAATTAACTATGTTATCTTTTGTGCAAAATATATGACATTTATATTCAAAATATTCCTGGTCTTACAAGGAATCCAACAATGTCAATTATATTATCCTGACTTTAATCTGAGGTATTATTTAATACTAAATGTTAAAAACCCTGGAAGGGAGGATTGGTGGGGGGTGGGGGGGAGGGTTGGGACTGACCGCGCGGTTGGAAGAGGGGGGGGAGGCAAGGTGGGGTACTTTGATTGACAGATAGTGTCGTGAAGATTATTTTTTTTTTTATTAACTGAAGATATTTGTTTTAGCTCATAAAATTCATACAAATTACCCGGTCAGAATATAATTTACATTGCTGGAATTCTTATAATTTGGTGATCATTTTGAATATAAACATCATATATTTTGCATTAGACATACAAATTTTAGATAAAATTCTTTCTCTGGGTAACTATGTTATCTTTTGTGCAAAATATATGACATTTATATTCAAATATTCCTGGTCTTACAAGGAATCCAGCAATGTCAATTGTATTATCCTAACTTTAGTTTGAGGTATTATTTATTAAAATTTAGTGGTTTTCCCCCAAAAATTTCTCAGAGAGGGAAGAGCCAGCAGTGTAGTGTGAGAAGAGGGGGAGGGAGTTGAGTCCATTATTTGAATGGACATTAACTTGGCGACTGTATTTCTCTATTTCTCTTAAGTATTAATTGTGTGCATGTACCATCATAAAATTAAGATGTTATTTTTACTACAACATAGTTATGTGTCTTCAAAAAGTGGAGTTTGGGGGTCGGGCTGGTTTCTATTGGAATTAATCCCATATGTTCTGTTGTTCACTTAACGCGGATTTCACTTAACGCGGGACCCTCTGGGTTCTATTGACCGCGTTAAGTGGGGTACAACTGTATATATATATATATATATATATATATATATATATATATATATATATATATATATATATATATATATATATATATATATATATATATATATATATATATATATATATATATATATATATACAGTATTACCCCGCTTAACGCGCTTTCACTTAACGCGTTTTCGCATATACGTGGTGCCTTGCCAAAGCTGAACTTTCACTTAACGTGGATTTTTCCACAGCAACGCGGTGAGTGTCCGGCTCGAGAGCTATTTTTAGATTCGCACCACCCGCCACCCTGCCTGACTGCCTGTTTTAGCTCATAAAATTCATACAAATTACCCAGCCAGAATATAGTTTACATTGCTGGAATTCTTATAATTTGGTGATCATTTTGAATATAAACAACATATTTTTTGCATTAAACATACAATTTTTAGATAAAATGTTTAATCTGAGTAAGTATGTTATCTTTTGTCCAAAATATATGACATTTATATTCAAAATATTCCTGGTCTTACAAGGAATCCAGCAATGTCAATTATATTATCCTAACTTTAGTTTGAGGTATTATTTATTAAAATTTAGTGGTTATCCCACACATCTCCTTGGGACGGTTGGTGGGGGGTGGGGGGGAGGGAGGGACCAACCGACCGACCATCTGTTACCCTGTGAAGAATTATTTTTTTTTAACTGAAGATATTTGTTTTAGCTCATAAAATTCATACAAATTACCCGGTCAGAATATAATTTACATTGCTGGAATTCTTATAATTTGGTGATCATTTTGAATATAAACAACATATTTTTTGCATTAAACATACAATTTTTAGATAAAATGTTTAATCTGAGTAAGTATGTTATCTTTTGTCCAAATATATGACATTTATATTCAAAATATTCCTGGTCTTACAAGGAATCCAGCAATGTCAATTATATTATCCTAACTTTAATCTGAGGTATTATTTAATACTAAATGTTAAAAACTCTTGAATGGAGGATTGGTGGGGGGTGGGGGGAGGGTTGGGACTGACCGCACGGTTGGAAGAGGGGGGGAAGGCAAGGTGGGGTACTTTGATTGACAGATAGTGTTGAAGAATATATTTTTTTTTTTATTAACTGTAGATATTTGTTTTAGCTCATAAAATTCATACAAATTATCCGGCCAGAATATAATTTACATTGCTGGAATTCTTATAATTTGGTGATCATTTTGAATATAAACAACATATTTTTTGCATTAAACATACAATTTTTAGATAAAATGTTTAATCTGAGTAAGTATGTTATCTTTTGTGAAAAATATATGACATTTATATTCAAAATATTCCTGGTCTTACAAGGAATCCAGCAATGTCAATTATATTTTCCTAACTTTAGTTTGAGGTTATCCCACACATCTCCTTGGGACGGTTGGTGGGGGGTGGGGGGGGGAGGGAGGGACCGACCGACCATCTGTTAGCTGGCTGTGTACTGTAGTGTGAGAGGGGGAGGGAGTTGAGTCCATTATTTGAATGGACATTAACTTGGCGACTGTATTTCTCTATTTCTCTTAAGTATTAATTGTGTGCATGCACCATCATAAAATTAAGATGTTATTTTTACTACAACATAGTTATTTGTCGTCAAAAAGTGGAGTTTGGGGATCGGGCTGGGTTCTATTGGAATTAATCCCATATGTTCTGTTATTCACTTAACGCGGTTTTCACTTAACGCGGGACCCTCTGGGTTCAATTGACCGCGTTAAGTGGGGTACAACTGTATACTGTATATATATATATATATATATATATATATATATATATATATATATATATATATATATATATATATATATATATATATATATATATATATATATATATATATATATATATATATATATATATATATATATATATATATGTATATATATATATATATATATACTCTAGTTTGGATCCACTGTCACTCACTAATTTAGTTTTGAAAGTTATGTACATATATATATATATATATATATATATATATATATATATATATATATATATATATATATATATATATATATATATATATATATATATATATATATATATATATATATATATATATATATATATATATATATATATATATATATATGTATGTATATATATATATATGTATATATATATATATATATATACTCCCAGTTTGGATCTACTGTCACTCACTAATTTAGTTTGAAAGTTATGTACACAAAGACTGACTTTTTCCTCAACAAAAGAACAGATTTTAAAACTTAACAGACAATACCTTCATATTAGGTAGGCTGTGTAAAAGGAAGAGTGAACAATTACATGACATCAGCACATCAACTTGGACAAACCCCCAGGGGCCTAACCAAAGAGTTTAAGGAACCTCTACTAAGTTGCCCCATAACAATGGACCTCGTGGCTTTGAACTCTTTCAGAAAAGGGATTTCAGGATTCACCCTCCATTTTTAATAGATACGTTTATTATCCTTAGTTGTAAACTTTAACACTATAATTTACACTAAGCATAATAATGTGAGTAACTTGATGTTATCACTTTTATTGTACATATTCTCTCTGTATTATACAATTGTGTACCATTCACCAAGCCTCAGTTTTTACAACAAACAACCTTCAAAACCTGCAAATGTCTGTTACAAATTGATTGTATTTGTCCAGGTGCTGCTTGGTGTGGTGTCCCTAGTGCTGGGCTCACTGGTGTTCCTCCTGCTTACTGCCTACTGCCTCAGGACCAATAGGTAAGTCTACTTATACAGTAGTCAGAGTGGCAAGAACAGCCAGTGTGTAGCAAAGATGACTGTTGCTTCTAGAAAGATGTTAGGGTTGCTATGGTATTAAGGTGAAGGCTGCCATAGTAAAGATAGCAGGTCACATGATATTAATCAACTCAAAATTACTATATTGCATTTCACAAAAGATAATTCATAACACAAAACAAGATACTCTGTGTTACCTGTGTTACTAGAAGAATTTCAAATAGCATATAATAATTCTTCATAAGGTAGTTACATGTGACCCCCTCAGTTCCCAAACACCAACCATTACTGTACTCTCTGTTATTTCAATAGCTAAACTATCAAGAGGCAGCAAAAAAAGGTGCATTATTAGTGCCACTTCTTAATTTCAATGCAAGTGATGTGTAAAAACTGGCAACAGGCAGTAAGTGTGGTTACATTAATATATGGTACTTCTCAGTTTTTCATTAAAAAGATGTGCTATAATAATTTGGTACAGTAAGACAAATTATATTTACATCATTATTTTACAACATTCACCACATAGATCATTCAGTAACTTACATCTAATGATGAAACAAATAATGTTAATATCATTACATCTCAAAATACATTGTAAATTCTGTACAATAACTTGCAAAAACAAGACAAGTTATACTGATATCAGTAAGGTATTTCTCAATATTCATAGAGGATATCTTATCCCTCTGTGCCAGGTAGGTGTGGTGTATTTCCCCCTTGGAAGTGTAATATTACACAGTATGTGAAGCAATTTGTACCACTACTCCCTTTTATCTTAAGGGGAGTGTTTGGTGAAAATGGTTGACAAAATAAAAACTTGAGATATGGCTTCACTCACTAAGTGTAGGGTGCTGCTGTATGATAGCAAAGTTTCATTTGCTATATAGTTCATATTTATGGAGTTATTGGAGGTTTTCTGACCCCCCTCCAACCTGTGCGGCTAAAGGGTAACTTGTTGGTGATTTACTGTAAAAAATTTGTTTACAAATTTAGCCTAAAATGGTCGCTAAAATTACTCATGATAGTCAACCTTAGCAACATTTCCCCCACTCCCTGCTGCTCTTTCTCCCCGAGAGACACCGATTCAGGGCAGTGAGCACTTTGCTCTTATCAGAGGTGGAGGGCATCACGTGGCTCATGAAACTGACTTTTTTAATAATAAAAAGTTAATATCTCAGCCACATTTTTGCCTATTATAATAGGCAAAAATTTGAAAGAAAAAGCGGATAAAAGATCAGCCAATACTCTACAAAGTTAAACATATGATTTTGTTTATCGTGTAAGGCGTTTTGGGTTTTTTTTTTCCATAAAAATTTTGCTAAAAAGTTATTTAAATTTTTTTTTTCTTTCAAAATTCAGATACAAAAAATATCAATACGTAGTTGTCAAGAACGATTCTTATTCTCTTAGGAGAAAAATTCTCCTGTTCAACAAATCATTAATTATGATTTTTAAGAAAGATTTGTTAGAGGAATAAAAAAATTAAAGGGAGGCAAGGCTTAAATTTATGCTTATGTTGTCCTTTAATAACAACATGAAAATGAAAGTGATTGGCAAAAAAAAAAATTAAAAAATTTCTAAAGCAAATGGCTCCCCTTGGCATCACATGGGCACTTGTACTGGTAGTTTTTGTTTTCAACTGGTTTATGATGGTTAGCATCTGAAGTTTCATCTGCCAGCAGCTGATTTCTCCAGCCTGGCATGTTGGTCTTGAAATCGCAGCTGACAGTTTTGGTGTTAAAAGAGAACCACTTTTGTATTATATTAAAAGTTAACAATTAAGTGTGTATTATGTATTGCTGTAATGAATAGTTATTATGCACTGTAAGAGGGCAAGTTTTTATCTTTTAAGTAATTTTTGTCCACCTCCAGACTTTATCTGTATTTCTTTCAATTTATTTAGTTATATTCTGTTCTGTGGATTAATCTAGGGGAACCACGTCCTTGTCTATTATTACACACACTTCGAATTATTTGATTCTCACGATTGCCACCACCCAGACTTTTATCTGTAGAATATAACACCAACACCAACGAGAGGTTAGGCACATGAGTTATAACTTGTATTTTCAGGGTTTACCATTATTAGAAGGAATGAAGGGTGATACACTGATTATCCTTAATTAACCCTTAAGTCCCGGGTTAGGGTGCTGCTGGCAGTACCCCTCCGCGGGGTTAAATCGTGAAAGAAAATCATTTTTTTTCAAAAATAATTAAAAAAATGTTTATTAAAAAAAAATGGCAGGAAAATAGGCGGACATTCTGGAACATCACCCGGGGCCTAAGGGTTAATTTCTATTTGTTAAAAACAAATAGTAATTCAGTACTGTGACAGCTTGAACCATCAACCACAACTAAAGGAACTTCACTAATTTCAATTAATATTGAATAATTTGACTTTAACAATTAGATAAAATATAAACTGACCAATGATTCCTACTTTATGATTAGAAAAATAGATATTTCAGTTAACAGTTTCAACACTCAATAAACATACCAACTTAAGGGTAATATTACTGTACATAACAGTGACACTAGAATGATGGTCACTCTAAACAATTGTCAATAGCATAACAGTGATGTAATTACTTTTAGCACCATCAATTTCTTGAACTCTAAATCACAATATCAATTACTTAGTACCCATGGAGAAATAATCAACAAAACATATCATCTGCAAATACAGTAAGTTCACTCCACCTCCACGATAAACACTAATCCTCTTTGTAGTGATCTGTACGGTATCAATACTCAACCTGAGATGGTTATACTCCTGATAACCCAACCTCAATAATACTGTACATTCAAGAATAATTGGCACTTACAGGTTGGCGGCTACCAATACACAGGCTCAATTTCATCACACGAGAGTTGGTGGGAGTCAGGAGGTCACCTCCAGGGCTCAAAAACCTGGGAAAGTACACCCTCCACTATAGATATAGGTGGTAATCTGTCATCGTGTCTCATCTTGGCTACCTCCAGTTCTCCAGTTATGCACACAGTACCTGCCAGGCACAGAAATACATTCAGAATGTGGTAATTATTCATGACTAACCCATGGCCGAAATTGATAGAAAACACTTTTAAAAACTCCAGATTTTCACTGTTTTTTATAGTGGACACTGTTGTAGTTTATGCAAATGTTAAAAAAATGGATATTTCTAAAATAAACATAACTTAACCTTTGTGGATATGAAAAACAGACCTAACCAAACAAACCTACCTAACCTTACCTAACTTCCTTACCCCAGACCCCCCGGTATATTAAACAGAAAGAACTTACTATGATATGGTTTAATTTGAGGCTTTTTCTGGACGTGAGATCATGCTGCAACATCAGTGCTTATGCTGCCCGGGCGGTGGAGTGATTTATTGTGATTACAGGAAACGTCTAACCACGTTGTTGAGGAAGTGATGAACAAATTTCTTTCCGGTCTGAAAACACAGGGATTCCCGCAGTGTACACAGTCTCTATTTAAAGGAACAGTGCTGTGGTCTTTGATCAATTGAAGGATATCGTTGTGTTTATCCCTAAATTTGCAAATTGCTTCCATAAGACCGGCAACAACCTTCACATGTCATGCTGAAAATGAAACTGTCTCGGGCGCGGGGAAAAGCACAACAGCAGAGCGCGGCCTCATTACCGCCGGGAAGACAAATTAGTGCGCTCCTAAGCGCCTAATTATCTACAAACGAAACATTTGCACAAGAAATGATTACCATATCAGAACTCACTGATGAAAATAAAGTAAGAATATTTACAGTACAGTGATCCCTCGTTTAACGAATGCCTCGGTTAACGAAATTTCGGTTAACGAACTGCCTTCCATAAGGATCTTCAATTCAGTTAACGAACAAAAATTCGGTAAACGAATTTCTTACGAACCGACCTCAACATGTTTTCGCTTGCACTGACCGGGCAACCAGCTTTAGTATCAGTCCGCCAATACATTAATCGGTTCTAGGGCTTAAATTCCTTACTATTTTAGTAAATATCAAGAAGTTTATACTCTTCAATAATTTTAAAAGTTTAATATTCAATTTTTTGGTAATTTTAACAATTATTGAACATAATTGAAGGTAAAGTGACTAGTTTAATGCGCGGCATCCAGCCTCTTAACACAGCAAACAGGCGTTAGTCTCTCTCTGTTTTCACTGGAGGTAACATCTTGCTTGAGACTCTCTTCAACTAAATGCTTTTTTTCTGTGTTTCCAAGCAAATTATTGGTTATTTTGAAATATATTTTATATATTGACAATATATAATGCAGTGCAGTGTTGATTTAAAGAAAATAATCTTGAAATACACCAAGAGAACTAAAATTTTATGGGTGAAATGGTGCCATGGGGTGACTTTTCTTCCACCCCAATGCCTTCTCTTCTTCCTTCTCCTCCACCCCCATTCTAATTCCCATCATCATCATCCAGGAGCCTTCTACATACACACCTCAAAGTAAGTGAACTTTTCTACCATTTTTGTTGAATTTAGGAAATTTCGGTGAGCTGGAACCAATTACCCAAAAACCCATTGAAACAATGGTTTCGGTTAACGAACTTTTCAGTTAACGAACGACCTTCTGGAACGGATTGAGTTCGTTAACTGAGGGGTCACTGTAATACAAATAACTCGTCCACGGGTTAGTCCTATATATTAACCCAGAATGTAAACAATTCTCATTAGTCGGTTACTATGCGATTCACAATCATATAAATGTTTACTCACAAACGTATGACTTTATAACATGATACAATTCTTAGTCAACATAGTAGAGTTACTTGTTTAATTAAATAATGCACACAACAGACTTACAATGCCAAGTTATTCAGGATCATAGATACTGTAGAAGTTTTTGGAACTACATTGTTCATCAATAAATTTGGACGAATTTTGCCACTTGTGTATTATTTATACCTATGTGGCATGGCACCGCATGTGTGTTTTTCAATTTCAAATTAAATTAGGCTAAGGAAATAAAACATTTTCAAATGATTTTCCCTTTTGCAAAGGAGATCCAGTAGTCTTACTGCTCACCCAGAGTCCTGAGAAGTTGTATGCAGTACTGTACGCGTATATTTTACATTCCGAATAAAATTAAGGTTTCTGTTGAATCCTCCGATCTTATCTCATACATATAGTTAGCCATCATTAAGCTTGGTTATTATTTTTAAATAATTTTACATTTTCTATTAGTATTGGCCATTTTAAAGTATATGCTTGAAAATGAATATCGGTATCGGCAAAAGTTTTGGTATTGGCACATCCCTACTCTATACACTCATTCTTCCCTTACATGTAACTTACTAACTCAACCAATGGCGCCTCAGACACAAGTGCTTGTAAATTGTACAAGTCAAAGAAGGCAAGGATGTACTCTACATGCTTCCCTATTGGGCACTATAATGTTCCTGCACTTTGTCATGTACAGGATGTTGTGGGGTACGTTATGTTTGGTTCACACTCAGGATGGGATGGAGAAAGGAAACTCACAATGTGCTCTCTGTATACATGTTGTATTGGATGTACAATGCAGCTTGGTGCTGGGAAGTGGCATGGTTACAAGCGTGATGTAGAGAGCTGGTTGGTGAGGATGCTCAGAGGAGGACCAGCTTCTGGGTCGCCATGCTCTCCGGCAGGAGCGAGGGCCGCCAGGCAGGAGGAGGAGGAGGAGGTGTTGCTGGCTGGTTGGTGTAGGTAGAAAGTCTTTGTTTGTCTTTGGTACCCCCAAAATGTTCTACACTACTGAGGGTATACACAAACACTTGTTATCTTGAAAATAGGTTCTTATTCTCGTACGGGAGATATACAGAGGGAACAATAGACAGAGCACTTCCACACCTTAAGGACTGGTGATCTCCACTCTCTGTATTACTCCGCGCTGGCATGTACAGATGCCAGCATTCACAAGCTGAATACATAAAATGTAAATATGATAATTCACATACATAACATGGTGCATAATAAATTGAAATATTACATAGGATTAATACATGTTCTGTAATACTTTACTATACATAATTAATAGAGTAATATAAGAATACATAGCTTAGGTACTACTTCGTGTCCATATTATACAGAAAGAGAGGTAGGTCACCACGAGGTCAGGTCTTATATAGCGGAGGTAGGCGTGGCTTAATAGTTGACCTCCGTCATGTAAGACGGCGCTGGTTGACCTAGACCACGAGGCATACACTGGGGAATTCGCGGGGTCGGCTACTCAGCGACAAGTGTTTGTAGGGGAGGAATCCACTACAATACTCCCTCCTTCCCTCTAGGCGGTGTAGGAGACTTGTTGTCTGCAGGGTTGCATGGCACATGTGAGGCAGAACGGGCGGTGCATGCCACATGTGAGACATAACAGCGAGGGCGTGGATGAGCCGGCCGCTAGTGGAGGCAACTGTCTAGACTCACAAAATCTGTGGGAGAAGAGAGGGAGAAAGAGGGTTGTGGAGGTGATGAATGTTGTGTTTTCCTCGCGACAGGTACAGAGTCCTCAGATACGCCTGCTGGGGTGTGTGGGCCTGGGTCAGGAGCAGGGGCTGCGTTAGCAGGATCGGAGGAGGGTCCGTGACAGCAGGTGGGTCCACGACAGCAGCAGGGTGCAGGACAGTAGCAGGGGGTACCTGAGGGAGAAAAGAGGGGTGTGTGGGTCCGCGTCAGGAGCAGGGGCCGCGTCAGGAGGAACGGCAGGGGGTACTGCTGGGCCGGGGGCGGCGTCTGAGGCAGGACGGGTGTGTTGGGGTCGGTAGGACGTGGTGCTTGGGGCAGGAAGAGGAGCGGCTGTCTGCTTAGAGTCGCAGAGCTGCTCTAGGGTGTCTAACCTGCGGTGTAGAGACAGTAGTTGTAGAGCCGATGAGAGCTGCTTCTGTGTGGGTAAGCCAGTTTTCCATGTTGCTTGAAGACTGGGAGAGTGATCGGTTTCTCCTCCATCCTGTGTGAGTGCGAATCTCCGGGGGTCACCATTTGTGGGGTACGAGTTGTTTGGTTCACACTCAGGATGGGATGGAGAAAGGAAACTCACAATGTGCTCTCTGTATACATGTTGTATTGGATGTACAGTGCAGCTTGGTGCTGGGAAGTGGCATGATCACAAGCGTGATGTAGAGAGAGCTGGTTGGTGAGGATGCTCAGAGGAGGACCAGCTTGTGGGTCGCCATGCTCGCCGGCGGGAGCGAGGGCCGCCAGGCAGGAGGAGGAGGAGGAGGTGTTGCTGGCTGGTTGGTGTAGGTAGAAAGAGAGGTAGGTCACCACGAGGTCAGGTCTTATATAGCGGAGGTAGGCATGGCTTAATAGTTGACCTCCGTCATGTAAGGCGGCGCTGGTTGTCCTAGACCACAAGGCATACACTGGGGAATTCGCGGGGTCGGCTACTCAGCGACAAGTGTTTGTAGGGGAGGAATCCACTACAATGTAACCGAGTGCCTTTTGCCCAAACCTTGGTACTGTTTTCACTTGATTGTGGGAGATTGTTTGGGGTTAATTTTATTTTACACATACTGTATATTCCTTTATTATGCTCATCTTTGATTTTAAGTGTGAATATTGCAAATAAATTGTAATAACAGATCAGTTGCTGACACTTATGAAGGTAAATTAATTTTTTATTTATTTTTTTTCCAGTTTGGAGCGTCGTGTGAAAGTTTTGTCCACAAATACTTTTGGTTCCAAGTCCTCAGAATTGAACAGGGTTGGTTTGGAAATGACAGCAATTCCTGGGAGTAACAGGTTTTCTGGTGAAGGGGCAAATCCCATGTACAACATGTCAGAAGTAGACTTGAAGAATGACGACTCAAGCAGGTAAGACCATCAGTGCCTCTTCAATCCCAAAATCCTCCTCCTTCTCTCACTAATGAAAGGATATTATCTTATTAGCATAATAAATTAATGATCTACTTCACCCTTGCTTTTTATAGGCATAAATAAATAGCTTATTTTACTTATCACTTCATAGATTTCAGAGGTTCCTTAATTAAGTAAATGTTCTTCTTGCTTGCTGTATTTATATGGGATTTGTAGACACATTAACCTCAAGTTCTTTATCCCTCTCATCAAACATCAAATGGTTTCTTTAACTTCTCTTTCTCTTTTAGGCATGGCATTTGGAATGCATTTCTTAATGTTTAACTTAGCACTCCCTTTATCAGTATTTCCATTGATGTAATGTTGAGCTGCAACAGCAATCCAAGAGTCACAAGAAAAGAAATTATGGCAATTAACAACTTATTGAACCAAGAATCTTAATCATTGTGTTGGCTAATACTGTACCTACATTAAAAGAAGGCTGAAAATCCATTCTCTCTTGGAATTGTAAATTAACACTCGTGCACTGCCTTATTTATAACAAGTAACCCCTCCAACACATGGGCTAGTTGTGACCTTCTTGCACAGAAGAGCCACGCTGTATCTAGTTTTTTCTTCGGATATATTTTTTGGCAACCAATTATTGTTTTTTTCGGATAGAACCAACAATATTATATATATAGTAATTGCTTTATCACATGAAACAAGACAATATGAATATAAGTAATAATAAAGCTGGTAAATTGAAAAAAATTTAATATCCAGAATTTTTTCAAAATTCTTTACTCTCTTTTTGGTTTTTGCCAATATTTTCATATATATTGCTTGTTTTAATATTCCATTGGTTAGTATAAGTGTCTAAGTATGTCATAGTGGTTTTAGAATTTTGCTATCATATACGGTTTGGCTGTTGTGTACGTACTAGTCTGTTATACATACTGCATTGTAACATACTATACATTATACATCTTTATAATATTATACCAATATTATAAAATTATATTTTTAAGCAATCTTACCTCTCAGTATGATGGCAAATGCTCAGACAGTTATTGTATCCACAGAAGGGAATTTATTATGCGGTTCACACACGCGATGCTTCCAAGTTTGATTAAGTGAAATATCATAAAATAAACTAATAAATGCCTTATAAACATTCATGTAAACACATATAAAACATTGTCACAACACTTTTCATCATATTTACAGATAGCCAAGACATTTAGTGTATCCACAATGGGGAATTATTACGCAGTTCACACACGTGAATCTTACAAGCTTAAACAGCTTCACTAACTTTGTGATAAATATGTACTGTTTGTCCAGTATGTATAAGAATTATATATATATATATATATATATATATATATATATATATATATATATATATATATATATATATATATATATATATATATATATATATATATATATATATATATATATATATATATATATACACCCTGTATATATGTACAGAAATACCCTGGTTATCTTTTTACTTTTACTTTTATCCTATTCGACCCTGATTGGCTCATTAACCGCTTGGGCAGAGGGGATGCATTACTAAAAGTCATTGCAATTGATGAAACTGCAAATATCTGGGCAATTTTTCCCATAAGAATTAATATAAATGGGGAGATGTGTTCCCAGCCAGCAACTTACACCACATATTTTCCGATATTCAGTGATCCCTCAGTTAACGAGCGCCTTGGTTAACGAGTTACCTCCCATAAGTTTAACTTTAAAAATCATGTATTGACATTGTTTGAATCCAGCATGGGGCCTAAGAGATCAAGAAAAGCGATTTCAATCCAAACCAAGCAGGAAATTATAAAAAAACATGAACAAGGCATTAGAACAAATGCGCTATGCAAAGAATATGGCATGTCGACATCAACTGTGTCGACAGTTCTTGCACAGAAAGACAAATTTAAAGAAGTGAAAGTGAGAGACAAATCTACCAGAGTGTTTAAAAGTAGATCCCTAATTGCAGAAACTGAGAGGTTACTTCTCATCTGGATTAGGGAAAAACAGATGAAAGGCGATTCAGTTTCTACTGAATTCATTTGTGAAAGAGCCAGGGAGATTTACGAACATTTAAAGACAGATCAACCTGGTTCTTCAGGCACAGAATTTGAAGATTTTCGGGCCAGCAAAGGCTTGTTCGAAAAATTTAAGAAAAGAAGTGACATTTTCAGTGCTGTTAGGCATGGTGAAGCTGCTAGTGCTGATAAGGAAGGGGCAGCAAAGTTTTTAGTGGAATTTAAAGAACTGATGGAAGAAGAAAATTATCTTCCACAGCAAGTGTTCAGTGTGGACAAAACTGGGCTGTTCTGGAAAAAGATGCCCAAAAGAACATTCATCACCAGAGATGAAGCCTCTTTACCTGGGCATAAACCCATGAAAGACCGTCTCACTCTATTGCTTGGTGCCAATGCTTCAGGGAATTTCCGACTGAAGCCTATGCTTGTCTACCACTCTGAAAACCCCAGGGTGTTCAAGCAACAGAAAGTGGTAAGAACAAAGCTTGGAGTTTATTGGAAGTCCAACCATAAGGCATGGGTGACAAGACAGCTCTTTAATGAATGGGCTGTTGATGTGTTTTGCCCTTCTGTCAAGAGCTACCTAACCACCAATAAACTTCCTTTAAAGGCTCTTCTCCTCATGGATAATGCTCCTGGTCATGACCCTGAACTTGCCAGAACTTTGGAGTATCAATTTGACTTTGTGAAAGTGTTGTTTTTGTCTCCCAACACTACATCAATCATACAGCCAATGGACCAGAATGTGATCAGCAACTTAAGAAGTTGTACATGAAGAAAATGTTTAGGAGGTGTCATCAGGCAACTTCCAATGATCCTGAACTAACACTGAAACAGTTCTGGAAGACACAATTCAACATCCTGGAGGCTGTAAAATTGATTGTGTCATCATGGCAAGAAGTCTCCACTAGATCCCTCAATTCTTCATGGAAAGCACTGTGGCCATCAGTAGTCCATGATTTTGAGGGATTTGAGGAAGAAACAGAGTTGGACCAGGAGATTGTGTCCATTGGTCAGTCATTGGGCCTTGAAGTGGAAGAGAATGATGTCGAAGAGCTTGTGATGTCTCATGAGGAGGAACTTACTCCTGATGACTTGAAGCAACTGGATGAGATGTTAGAGGCTGACAGTAGTGAGGAGGAAATTGAAAGTGATGACCATATGTCAACTAAAGAGTTGAAAGATGTAATTTACCACTGGGAGAAGTTCAGGGAACTGGCTTCAAAGCACCCAGATGTGGAAAAAACTGAACTAACTTTGTGTCATGTTGAGGATTCAATGGTCTCCTTCTTTAAACATAAGTTAATGGTGAGGAGGAGAGATGCCCCACAGACCACAATTGACACTTTCTTCAGTAAAAGGCAGAGGGAACAAGATGCTATCCCTCAGCCTTCCACTTCAAGAAGGAGAGAGGATGATTCTAGCCCTCAGCCTTCCACTTCAAGAAGGAGAAAGGATGTTCATGGTGGAGAAAATGTCAGTCCAGAGGTTCCTGACATTTTCATGGAAGGTGACTCACCTTCCAAGAAGCAGTAAAATGCTTCTCCTCCACCTCCATTTCCTTCTCTTCTCCCTTCTCCTCCTCCACCTCCCACTTCAAATTCACATCAGCATCATCATCCAGGAGCCTTCTACATACACACCTCAAGGTAAGTGTCAATTTCTTACATTTTTGTTGAATTTAGGCAATTTTCGGTGAGCTGGAACCAATTACCCAAAAACCCATTGAGACAATGGTTTCGGTTTACGAGATTTTCGGTTAACGAGCAACCTGCTGGAACGGATTGTGCTCGTTAACCGAGGGACCACTGTATACTCCTCATTATCCAAGGCAATTAGGGACCAGGGTCATGTGTATTCTGCAGTACCAGTAAATGTGAGGAATATATAAAAATTATTCTAATAAATAGAATAAAACAAATAAAATACTGCATAGCCATTTGGTAATACAGTCAACCCTCACTTTACGCGGTTAATGTAACCCACAGGGTACCGCGGAAAGTGAGAAACGCATAAAGTGAATAACATAACATATGGGATTAAATGAAATAGAGACCAGCTGACCCCCAAACTCCACTTTTTCCAACACAATACCTATGTTCTAGTAAAAATAACATCTTAATTTTATGATGGTACATGCACACAATTAATATTTAAGAGAAATAGAGAAATACAGTCGCCAAGTTAATGTCCATTCAAATAATGGACTCAACTCCCTTCCCCTCTTCTCACACTACACTTGCTGGCTCTTTCCTCTCTGAGAAATTTTGGGGGGAAAACCAGGTATAGTAATAAATAATACCTCAAACTAAAGTTAGGATAATATAATTGACATTGCTGGATTCCTTGTAAGACCAGGAATATTTTGAATACAAATGTCATATATTTTGCACAAAAGATAACATATTTACTCAGAGTAAACATTATATCTAAAATTTGTATGTCTAATGCAAAATCTATGATGTTTATATTCAAAATGATCATCAAATTGTAAGAATTCCAGCAATGTAAATTATATTCTGGCCGGGTAATTTGTATGAATTTTATGAGCTAAAACAAATATCTTCAGTTAATAAATAAAAAATATTCTTCACAACACTATCTGTCAATCAAAGTACCCTACCTTGCCTCCCCCCTCTTCCAACCGGGCCAGATGGTCGGTCCGTCCCAACCCTCCCCCCCACCCCCACCAATCCTCCCTTCAAGAGAAAGGTTGGGTGAAAAAACTAGATTTTAACATTTAGTATTAAATAATACCTCAGATTAAAGTTAGGATAATATAATTGACATTGCTGGATTCCTTGTAAAACCAGGAATATTTTGAATATAAATGTCATATATTTTGCACAAAAGATAACATATTTACTCAGAGTAAACATTATATCTAAAATTTGTATGTCTAATGCAAAATATA